CCTCACAGTTTGTTGGTATGGGTCTGCCCAGGTGGTCATAATGTTATTTATGGCTGATCGGTGTACATGCTAAGGTTAAAAGTGCAAAACTATTTATTTCAGAAGGCACAATCTGGCTTATGCAGGCTAAAGTCAACCTTCAATTAATTTTTTTTAACCTAATGTACTGTAAAGAAAGAATTTACACAACAGTGCAACAGACATTCAGATTGATATAAATGATACCACAGAATACAATTCTGTCATGTCTTTTTGTAACCAAAGGAAAAACACAAGCTTGTAATATAATCTACAACTAAGAGTGTAAGTTCATACGGAATCCAGTGTGCTGATAGGACCATTATGCTCACTTTAGCCAAGTTTGTTCATCCAGTGCATAATGCATTATGTAAAGCAGACTCAAAATTCCGTTAGTAAACCAACTTGTAACTTATTGTAAAGCTGTAATGTGCATTAAAGCTTCAGAACTGAAATTTTTAAAGTAATGACAAGACTTGGGGTCCTCTTTACGGAGCTCTCTGGTGTGTACCCCACCCCCCCTTTGAGCCTCCCTCTCTGGACAGCTTCATCTCATCCTCTGCTTGCATGTCATGGCTGGGAAGAGCCACATAGGGCTGCTGCCCCCATGGAAAGCTCTGAGGACCCTTCCTCAGGTAGAGTGGGAGGGAGTCCCCATTAAATGTAATGTCCTTGAAAGCATGGAGGAGGAAGATCCCTAAAATGATGGTGAGGAACCCACTAATTGTTCCCACTACTCCGTCAGTGGTCATACTCAACCATTCCTTGAAGAGGATGGCAGAGCAGGCCATGACAGAGGTGGTGAAGAAGACGTAGTAGATGGGAGTGACTATGGAGGTGTTAAAGATGTCGAGGGCTTTGTTCAGGTAGTTGATTTGAACGCTGACACAGATTACCAGGCAGATGACTAACGACCAGAACAGGGGTTCCTTCAGCACTGCTGTCCCAGCAAACAGCTCCTTAATGCCAATGCCCAGGCCCTTGACACAAGACACAGAGAGGGAGCCAATCACAGAGCAGATCAGGATGTAGACCAGCACATTCTTCTGTCCAAACCGCGGTGCCACAGCAAAGATAAGAACCAGGCTGCTTCCCACAACGCACACAGCAAAGACAATGAAACCTGGTGGGAGCATTCAAGAATGAGTTAGTACCCTAAAAAAAACAAAAACAATATCCAGCTGAATCTGGGATTCAGCCTCCACAGCCATGGTTAATATCACATCACAACGACTAAGGGCTGGTCCTACCTGGGTCTTTGAGCTTCTCGGCCATGGCACTGAGAGAGGCAACCTCCTCTTCCTGTGGGGCATGGATCACCATCACTGTGGAGCCCAGGACGCACAGCAAACAACCGATCTTCCCATGCACATTCAGCCTCTCATTCAGAAAGTAGGAGGAGAGCACAGCACTGGAAGGAAAGGCAATGCAGACACAGAGTTAGCATAAATGTGGCCACTGCGTATAATAAAGGGAGATGTCTTTGTTTTATTGTCCTCAAATCTAATGAAATGACAAAAACCAACAATGCAAAAGTCTGCTCTAAGTCCATTCGTTCTTAGTGAAGAAAATCTTTAAAAGTGAGTTACAATATATGCATATATAATAATATATGCTTTTAGTTTTTACTCAGTATATACAGGGGCCATTTTCAAACTTACACAGAATTAGAAAAAAAAAGTATGACTGTTGCATAACTGTTGCAAAACACCCTTTGGTGAGGGACAAGTAGAAATGACTTTGTTTTAAGGCGGTCAGAAACCAAAAAGGTAATCCTGACTGTCACAAGATGATTTGACTGATAATAACTGGTTAATAACAACAACAATAGCAAGATAATCATTCATGTTTGCATCGTAACAATACAATAGATGTTTGCTTTTGGCCCGCAGCAACAAACACCAACGTAATGAGAGCAGTGGGAGTGAAGAGCAACTACACAATGAGCTGAAAAAAAGAAACAAAAGATACAGGTTCATCACTACGAGTTACTCCTCTCACACTGTCATTTGATACACTGTCTATTATACTGATTTGTATAAGGAAACAAATGCTTTTATGACATAAAATATCATTCTTTTGGCAGACTTTCCTCTAATCTTCAGGCCGATAGAAATTCTTCAAATCAAAAATCACTCTTTAGTTGAGCTTCTCACAATACTCTTCTAGTGCCTAACCTGTGATAAGGGGTCTCAAGTAAATAAATATAGCTTCAGTTAAAGGGCTCACAAGCCAAAAACGTTGTGAAGCACCGCTCCTGTGAGTATTTACATCACCAAGATCAGTGCAGATGTTCATGGCAGTAAATGAATGTGTAATCTAGTGCAACAATGAGGCTCAATGATGTGTTTTTAATCCTTTTTGGACAACAATGGACGTCTACCACGCAGAGGAATAACCTATATTAGGTGTTGGGTTTACAGACAATAGATGTTGGTTCTGGTCTTTTCTTGGGATTTATTGATAATAAGAAAGTTCGAGAGTTAAAGAGTTATCCGTGAATACTGAGAAGGCTAAAAGAAGACAAAGACAATTACCTTACAAGAACACTCAATGCTCCAAGAGGAGTCACCAGTGTGGCCGGAGCAAATGCGTAAGCAGCGAAGTTAGCGGCCTCTCCAGTTCCCACTGGAATATAAACATGAATTACAGAGGGTTAAAAGTTGAAATATCCAACCCACATGTGCAAATGTGCTCTTTGGAGGAATGTGCACTTCAAAGATATGGTGTGGGCACTGCATCTCCTGCAACGTCACCAGCAAAAATACCAAACCCACAAAAGCCTCATCCCCCCTTCTTTGAAAAACAAAGACCACAATGTTTCTGTGCCATGGCTAGTAAGCAGCGTAACCAAGTAAAAAAAAAGAAAAGAAGAACAGCTGAGCATGTCATCCATGTTTCAGAATTAAGCCTGAAATCATTTACTCACTTGAAATAAGTCCTGCCCACCACAGCCATTCCTTCAGGTAGGCATACCCCCCTTGACCTGTGAGACACAGGACAGAAAAACTGGAGTAGTTGTCATAGTTACTGTTACAGGTTTCTCACTTTAGATTAATCCTAAATCATTTTAACTAATGTAAAGTTTACACACACGTTGCCATCAAGACATACCTTCCTTCCCCAGTGATATACCCACCTCACTACCTACATATTCATCTTTACATACAAAACATATGCCCAGCTCATTAAATATGATCAACTCTTGTAGATTTAACTATCCAAAAATATAGAAAGTAGTTTAAATTAGCTCCACGTTGACCAGCTACATTGTTGCTCACACAGTAATACATCATTTATATAATTAACATTAATAAACAACAGTTTTGATAATCCATTAATCGTTGTGGGTTAACAGTATCTAGTTACAGAGTATGAACCAAACAATTATTTACATACAGCCCTATATGGTAACACATCACAGACAGGGATGACACTAGTGTACTGCATACACACATATTGAATGTAAGACTTGTAGCATTATGGTACTGTGAGTATTTCCGAAGCGTACAGTACCTGCTCGCATTGAACCCTTGCTGACCAATCGCAGCAGGCCTTTCTTCTTCAGAATGAAACTAGCGCCGATAAAAGCGCTGGAGCTCACCGCCAGAGAGAGACCGATGTAGAAGTCCAGACGGTTCACCTCCATCTGAAAACCACAGACTGGCGTCCCAACGTGTGATAACAACAACCCAACTTCTAAAAACTAGAAACGAAACTTTCGGGAACTTTTCAGGAGTCGAGCAACAGCCACCCCATGTTTAAAATCACATGATAGGCTGACTCTGCGGCGACGAGGCTGAAACTAGCTTTTTATACGGCTGTAGGTGACCACGAACCACTTCTCTGACTTGGTTTGGATTAAGTTAGTTAAGTCTAATACACTGTTTAACTCCCGCTTAACGTTACACTTGGTAAAATGTTTAACCTACGTTGTCACATCAACTCTATTCGTCGTCGATAGCTGACTGCAGGAAGTGGAGCTGCTGATTGGCTGGCCGTCACCCGCTACTTCCTTGTTTATTGCCTAGGAAACTGGAGGGCGGAGGCTCTACTTCAGTACTGTCGATAATGTTTATGTTTATGTTGAGGGTAATGCATTCAAGTTCAGATTTTTGAGACAAATGTGTGAAGAAGGTGTCACTATATCCTTTAATCTCATAAAAACACATGCGTAACTAGTGAATAACTAATACATGATGATTTAATGCCAGTAAGTATTCAGGTACTTTACTTGAGTAGCTAAAAGTGGAAATGCCACACTGTGAAAACACTACAAGTAAAAGTTCATGCATTCAAACTCTTACTTAACTTAAAGTAAGTGTTACCAGCAAAATGTACTTCAAGTATCAAAAGTAAAAGTACTCATTCTGCATAAAAGTACTCGCTGTCAGTGTCTTAATGTTACTGCTGCATTAATGTGTATGTTGCATTTTACTGCTGTGCTGAGCTCATTTTAACTACTTTTTGTATTGATGTGTAGTTTAATTTACAGAAATGCTTCATGTGTAAGCTCATTTACCTTAAGAACCAGGTTTCTATCTCTAAAAAGTCAACTTTTCATGAGCTCAGAAAAACAGCCATGTTTTTAGCTTTGTGACAAATGATTTTCCAGCTGATCCAAAAACGGTTCAATTTATCACAAAAACTTAAATGAAAAATTACCAACTTTGGAGATAGGCTACATGATTTTCACTTCACAGGAAAAAAGTTGTCAGACAAATGTATAATATTTTCCTCTGAGATGTAGTAGAGTAAGTACAAGTCAAATGTGTACTTGAATTCACTACTTGAGTAAATGTACTTTACATTCCACCACTGTTGCTCACCATTAGTATTTGGTCATGCACCAACATTTAGATATTTGCAATTGACCACCAGTTTGATAAAACTGCAAGTGCTGTTTGGTCATTGCCTGGGTCTGAAAGGCCCTTTTCATGAGATTTCAGCTAATTTGGTGGAATATTATTCCTGCAATGAATCATCATGAATCATGCTTAACTTAGTTAAGGTTAGTTAAGGCTGAGCCCTTGCTGCAGATATTAGAACTTATTGTTGTGCTAATCTTTATGCATCTAAAAAGTTCTCTGAGGTAAAAGGAAATACAATCAACAATATGAAAGGGTTTCAAAATGTATTACAGTGACACATTCAGTGGACAAATTCCAAGACTGTATGGAAAGAACACATATCTGTGTATGTGTGTATATGTGTGACAGTCTGCTTACAAGAAAGATCATTACAATGTACAACCTAAGATATTTACTAGTGGCAAACAGAATGTTATTTGAAAAGACCCTCCCAGATTCATTATAACACAAAATGTAAAACAGGTGAACTCTGTACTTTAATCCATGTAACACGTTCATAAATAGATATTAATGTATTTATCTTCTGTGCTCTAAAATAGAATCAATATTACTTTGAATACATGGTTTTATTTTTATCTGCTCATACTAGCAACAGAGTGGTTTATGGCAATTTAAAACGTTGTAGTCTGCTGAGGGGTTATGTATTATATTCATAAAACTCTTCAGGAACAACAATGTTCCTAACTTTACAAGTTTTTTTAAATTGATGGTTCCCAACAACAGTAGAGCACTTTTATTTTGTAAATTCTTTGTTACATTACAGTTTCATTTGTATATTTATACTGTCCCTGTCTTATTTATGCATTGTCTTATTCCCATCATAATATATACTGTCAATGATTGCCACGTGTGTCTGCATTGACAGTATATATCATTCCCCTGTTATACTTATTCAAATAAAGTCATTTGAAGAAAAGAAAAAAAAGATGCTTCCCTGATGCATCTCCATTTATTCGTGGGTTTCTCCCGTAAACATTTTACTGCCTGACTGGACATAGACATATATTATATTTCTTTATATGTTATATTTCTTTATATATTATATTTCTTTATATGTTATATATTATATTTCTTTATATGTCTGTCACCAGCTTTAACACCTGGAAAACGCTGCAAAAAAAGTGTCCTCGCAATCTGATTGGTCGTTGGTGTTCGTTACGCACTATGCAGCGTTGTGATTGGACGAGTGACTGTGAACCCGGAAGAAATGCTAACCTTGACAGGCGAGCAAAACACATGCTGGTTTACAAAAACAAAGATTAAATGTGATGCTTCCTGACAGTTCCATGGGAAATATCGACCAGGACCACTCTGTGATCTCCCAGCAGTACTTCCGGCAGTAGCTGCGTTTCTCCGCTTGTATTCTTTCTCTGCTAAAACTCACTCTTTTATCTAGCTAAATGAAAGGCTAGCACTTACCAACCCAGCGCCGCACTCTCTGCACTAGTTAAACTCCGTCTGGTGGACTCCATGTTGGCTTCACCTGCTATCCAGTGATGGGGACTCCTGTGTTTGTCACCAGAAGCTGTAAGGCTGTTCACACACTGCAAAAAAGCCAATTCTTCTCACCAGTCTCAGCTGTGTGGAGACATCAGAGGATCGGTGTGTTGAGATACACCAGCACTCATGTCTGCAAAGACGACAGGAGTTACTACATAACCACTCCCATCTTCTATGTCAATGCTGCTCCTCATTTAGGACACCTGTATTCAGCTGTGATGGCTGACTGCTTACACAGGTATAAGCTACTTAAGGGCTTCAACTCAAAGTTTGCAACAGGTAAATCCTCCATCGACCAAAGCATATGTGTATGCAACGTGTCTGTCTGTTGGTTGCATGTGATTTACACTTTTGTCACAGCATAAATCCCTATAGGCACCTTAAAGCTTATATTAGAAACCAACGCACAGGAAATATGTTGTGTAAATATGACAAATAAAAAAAATAATACATTCTATTATCTTGCATTTCAGGCACTGACGAACATGGCTTGAAAATCCAACAAGCTGCTGAAGCTGCAGGAAAAGATCCCCTGATCTTCTGCGCCGATGTGTCTGAGAGGTTCAAGCATCTCTTCAGCAGCTGCAACATATCGTACACAGACTACATAAGAACCACGGAGCGGAGACACCACGAGGCCGTGAAGCATTTCTGGTCAGTGCTCTGGAACAAAGGGTTAATCTACAAGGGCAGTTATGAAGGCTGGTACTCCACCCAGGATGAAAGCTTCCTCACGCCGAAACAGGTGGGCGATGCTTTGGACTCAACAGGAAAGGAGATCAAGGTATCGCTGGAGAGTGGCCACAAGGTAATTGGAGTGAAATTGGTATTATAGCATATGTGTGAATGAGTGTAACATTTAAAGGGGATCCTCTTGAGAACTAGATGGTACAACTCAAGGGGTTAGTCCTAATAAAGAATTTCTTGTGAACTTCAGTCTTCTCTCTGCTGTTTTGCAGGTGGAGTGGATGAAAGAGGAGAACTACATGTTCCGTCTGTCTGCGTTTCGGTCTCAGTTACTTGACTGGCTCAAAGGAAATCCCCGGGCCATACAGCCAGAGCGTTTCTACCGGGCTGTTCTCCAGTCGCTACAGGAGGACCTTCCTGACCTCTCAGTCTCCCGCCAGAGAAGCCGCCTTCAGTGGGGCATCCCAGTCCCGGGTGACGCCGAACAAACCATCTATGTGTGGCTAGATGCTCTGGTGAACTACCTCACAGTAGCTGGCTACCCAGATAAACACAACCAATGGTGGAACGTGGCCCACCACATTATCGGAAAGGATATCTTACAATTTCATGCCATCTACTGGCCCTCTTTTCTTCTAGGGGCGGGACTGCCGCTGCCACAGACAATACATGTGCACTCGCACTGGACAGTAGGAGGAAAGAAGATGTCTAAAAGTTTGGGTAATGTAGTGGATCCTCTTGAACGCTCACAGATGTTCACAACTGACGGCATGAGGTACTTTCTTCTGCGTCAGGGTGTCCCTGACTCAGACTGTGATTACACAGATAACAAAGTCATCAAGGTGCTTAACGCAGACCTCGCTGACTCTCTGGGTGGTCTGCTTAATCGCTGCACAGCTCCAGCTCTCAACCCAGCTCAGGTCTACTCCTCTTTCTGCCCTCAGTTCTTCTCAAGTGAACAGAGAGGCAGGGCTGTGGTTGAAGACTACCACATGTTAGAGGATGTGAAAAATCTCCCCGCTGTGGTGGAGCAACACTATGAGAGCATGCATGTGTACAAAGCTCTGGAGGCCATCGGTGCCTGCGTGAGGCAGACCAACGGGTTTGTTCATCGCCATGCGCCTTGGAAGCTGGATAACAGGGACAGTGAAGCCCAGCGCTGGCTCAACACCATCATCCATGTCTCCCTCGAATGCCTGAGGATTTACGGCACACTGCTCCAGCCGATAGTGCCAGAGATTTCTAACAAGCTGCTGTCCAGACTCGGGGTGCGACCAGATGAGAGGAGCTGGGCAGATTTGAACTTCCTGCCAAGGTATCAGGGAATGGACTGTCCTTTCGAAGGGAGAGCGCTAGGATCTCACTCTGGGGTGCTTTTTAGTCGCTTGGAAACTCATAATGTAGATAAACAAAAACCTAAGAAAACAAAGAAATTGAAATGAGGAATTGATTTGCTGATTCAGTCAATAAAGAAATAAAACTCCTGTGGCAGTTTTCACTTAGTCTTTTTCAGGATTGTGATTAGGGCTGCACGATATGGTAACATAATCAAAGTGTGATTGGTTTGACAGCTATTGTGATATGATTCATGATCATTTTTGTATCACACTTTTAATTTCACTTAAAGAACTATTAAAATCATGATGATGGGATGTGATTTGTTGGGGTCTGTACCAAACAATCATGTTTTGTTACATCTGGAAAACAAGATTTGTAGGCCAGGCCACAGTACTTATACAATATAATGCTGTGTGTGTCTGCCATTTGGATATTATACTCAGCCATACTGTGATTTCGATAATATTGCGATTAATTGTGCAGCCCTAATTTTGAGGTGTACAAACGTCTTTCTCACTTTGTTAGTTTAGCTGTCAACTGTTATGGCGCTATAACCTATTACCTTCAACAATCTCATTAGTGAGTTTGGTGACGTCAAGTATTAAGTCTTTTTAACAGCCAACATTTTGCCAGCTTTACCAGGTGAGCTACCAGTATGCCTCAGGTTGTGTTTTTATCTTTTCAATATCTATTGATGTTATGATATAAATTGTCCCAAGGGACGTATTCTTTTCTACCCCAATACTGCAGAATGAAACTCTACGTTGATGTTTGAACACCTTAATTTCAATTAGTTGTGGGATCAATGAATCAACATTCAATCTCAATCTTGTCTCAACATAATTAGAAGTTACTCAAAACACAAGTGAGTATAATTTAACATTAGAAGACTGACAGATGTTTTTGAATGACAGCAGCCTTATTTGATAGATCAAATCCTTTGATTCCAACTTTGTCATTGACAGTTTTTAAACACAATATACAGGCAGCCAACACAAGTACAAGACATAAAAACTGACATGATTTTTTAATGAGAAATACACGAAACTGAAAAAATTGTACAAATTGAAATAAAATAAAAAAATTGCATTATTCTTATAATTTCTGGTACTTTTTTACATAGACTTTTCCATTATTAACCATTATCTGTTCACTTCAGAGCAGGATGCCTCCTTTCATAATCCATAATTACACGATTGAAGTCAAGACATTTTCTCAGCTCATTGCCTCTGTGGTCGAGATCTCATCTGTTTGGTGGTCCTTTGTGCCTTGAACAGTATCCGTTCCTAACAGCCTACACACGACTGAACACACTCATCTGAAGAGCTGGACCTCCCCACATGATGAGGGCCTATTCTCTGCACACTACTATGAACAAGCACGATCAGTAATAGGAATTGGTGCCCTGTCCTGGTTGTGTATCTGAAAAGAGTGGAAAAGTTTCATTATAAATATGAAGTCTGCACGGAGATGGAAACAATGACAACTGTAGGGAGACGCATAAATGATTTGAAAAGTTTCTAACTTACTTGAAAGTTGCTGTTGTAGCTGTCTGACCAGAGCTGCAGTCTGCTGCTGCTGTTGAGTCTGCTGCATTCCCTGTCGTGGGAACTAAAACAGAGATACACGAAACAGTTATTATAGCAATTTTAAAGGTTTGTACATTTTAACCTATTTGCATATATGTAACATTACTACCAATCATTTTTTGCAAAATGGATCTTCAAGAGTTTTGAGTAAGTAATTCATCAGGGTCCAAATCTCTAGTGGTGCATTTAAGGAGGCAACAATGTCCACAATAGTAATAGTATAGAGTTGGCTACCATAATGCATCTCATTCACAAGCTATATGTGATGACTTATTTATCTAAGTACAATTAAGTGTGTCAGAATGTCGTGAATGCTAAACCTTAAAAAAAAAAAAGAGCACACAGTAATGCATGGTATGTATATCTAGAATGAGTCCTAAAACCCAACCTCAGAGGTTTTTTTAAAAGGGTTTTTGGTTAGATGCTGAAAATAAGGTCTATGGTTACCACAATGTGTCAGTAAATACCTCACTTGTGGATTTTGAAGCTTTGACATGTCTTAAAAATGGAGATTGCTAACAAGTGGCTAAATGAGACTACAGAGGTTGTTGGGGACATTAAATGTCATCATGCCAAACACTTAAAGCTAAAGATGTATTTATGCTGTTAGCTTACTACTTCTGCCAATTGTATTTGATTCAAAAATCATTGATTCAAAAATCATAAAAGTGGTGTTNNTCTTGCTGAACAAAACATTTAAGTGTCATAAACGTTTGTCTGCCAGAGAACTTATTTTGTGCAGTAATCCAAAATCCAAAGAAAACATCCTGTGGGCTTTTTGTCGAAGGAACTATGGCAATGCTAACTTTCGGGTTGGCCCAATTACATTATCCCTGCAGCACTTTACACATTTGTTGTTAACTGGCAAAAACATTCAAAATTACTAGCATGATATTATAATGCAAAGCATACATTGAATTTTTTTCTGTAACACTGACTGATGAAAATCAACCAAAGCCCTTGTAGTTCCTTTCCAATTCGACATACAATATATATATATATATATATATATATACACATACACACACAATATATATATATAATAATGATAATAATACATTCGGCGACTTTGTACATGTTTGTCACACGACAGGACAGTCTCTTACACTTTTCCTCACCTGGCTAGTGACGGTCACCTAGTCACCTATGATTGGACCTAACCATGGGTTGCTGGGAACAGTGGCTGCATGCGGGCCTGTTTGATAGCCTTGCATGGTTGGCACTGGCTGACACCTGTTGCTGCTGCTAGCTGCTGATGCTGCTGTTGTTTGAGCTTATTATGGGACTGTATAGGAGAGGAACTTGCTGGGGCCTGGCTCACCTGCTGCTGCTGCTGCTGCTGCTGTTGCTGCTGCTGCTGCTGTTGTTGTTGTTGTTGCTGTTGTTGTTGTTGAACTTGTTGGGCCTGCTGCTGCTGTTGTTGTGAAAACGCAATAGAAATAATGGTTGGTGTTTGAGGTACACATTGTTGTACAAGTTGATAAATGTGAAGAGTTTTTATCTTTTCCAACTTTATATTAGAGGTATTTCCGTATATCTGTCCATTTATTCTAGTTATGATCAATTCTTTACTTACTTCTGGTCAAGTGCCTGAATGTTTTAAATCAAACCATTCCCCAAAAAGCCAACTCTTGACCCATTTATTTTAAATAAACAGGTTCAGGTTACAGCACTGAGACAGCACTCCTTAATGGTATTATTTTAGCACCTGACATCTTACTGTATCTTTCGATACAGTTGATCGGTTTTATTCCTAACTCTCTGAAAGGACTTTCTGAGCTGCCATTGACAAATGTGAATCCTCCACAAGCCACTTTACTCATGGAGTGCCTCATGGTTCAGTCCTTGGTCCATTATTATTCTATTTATATGCTGCCTCTCGTTCAAATCTTTCAAAACAACCATATCAGTTTCTGTTTCTATGCAGATGACTCCAAGATCTATTTCTCTTTTAATTCCAACCACACAATGCAATTTAGCAAACTACAAACAACAACAAGTTCTGTTGATTAATCTTTGGCCATTATAATCATCTGCAGGTTCACATTGTGTATATTGTTCTTATTTATGATTTGGTGAAATAATTTAGTCATGTGCATTACTGTTTTTAAAGCTACAGAAGGCAACTTCAAACACTGGCAGTTCCAAATAAAAGCAAAATGTAACTGAACAACCTGAATTACCAGTACTCAGGAATCATGGGGATGCAACAAAAGTAAACAAACCCACTGATGTTTACCAATTTGTATCCAAATATTGATTTACTTTCATGTTTTTTGTGCGTTTTTATAAAGCACCCCTAAAAGAATGAGCTTCTATACGGAAACACTGGTTTGCTTCAGGGTTACATAATTAAAAAGCAAAAAGCCTTCATTTTCACATATCATGTTCCTAATGAAAAGTAATAAACTGAGCCAAAACATAGCTTAAGAGCTCAAGTGACATACTCTGAGTTGTTGTCTGAGGTACTGCTGCTGTTGCTGCTGCTGTTGTTCTGCCAGCATCTGATTAGGCCTCAAGCCTGGATGTACACCCTGGCCTCCCATGTGACTGAGACCATGCATGATGGGATTCTGCTGTATGGGCTGGTGGGCAAACCTGAGGTTTACAGGACAGGAGGAAGAAAAAGAAATATGAGGGCAGGTAAAAATCTGCAATGCACACTCAAACACTGCTAAAACAATGTCAACCTTCTGCAACCGGACTTGCTTGGAGTGCTACTAAGCAACTAACAAAGCAGCAGCCTTCCTTCCTTGAAACAAAATACTGACCTCTGTGTGTTCTGCATATTGTGTACGTAGCCTGGAGCCTGCTGGTGAACGTAACCACTGGGCCTCTGCTGCATTTGCCTAAGAGGATCCACCACAGCTGGGTTGGTTCCAGGATGGGTGCCCTGGAAGTTTTGGTTCCCATATGATGAAGGAACTATACCACCACCTTGGGATGGATGCTGCTGCATCCCCATGTGTGATCCATACGTGGTATAGCCCTGAGATATGTTCTATGAACAATGAGATATAAGACAATGTAGTTAGTTAAAAAAAAAGGAGACCATTATTGTTTTATTGATAGTGTCCAAGTGTGAACGGAATCCTGTTTAAACATGTACATCCTTTTTACATTTGTTGACATTATGGTGTATAAATAATATATTTTTTAAGAATAGAGGATGATCAGATGAAAAATGCATTTATTAGCAAAACAAAAGTAAAGCAACTAAAATAGACGTACCTGAGATGCCTGCATTGAAGTATATGGTTGGTTGGGTGTTATTTGTCTAATTTGCTGCCCTATCATGCTCTGATTCTAAAAAGAGAAAAAACAAGTCAGCAAATAGCAAATATTCATTGCCTTCTACCAGGTGTAAAGGAGAATTCTTATTTTCCTTTTTTTCTGATTTGAAAGCAATTTTCTTCACTCAAAACAACCATATTGTATTTGTGTTAGACTTGAAAACTGAATTTAAGCAGCAATTAAACAGATAATCAACTATCGTTACTAGCAACTGCTTTTAGTCAAGCTCTTTTTGACTGTAACATGTAGCTTAAAGGCCTTGCAACCAACCGACCCACCGTCGGCAGAAAAGCAGTTGGAAGATCAGTCGCTCCGTCTCCTCGAGTCGGTCAAAGAAAAAAGCCTCCGAACACACCAAACCGACACCACTGGAGCGTACGTTCGGCGCATTGCGAGGGTAATACGTCCCCATAACAGCAGGCGGCGTAATCTGTTGTCTTCCAAAAAAAAAATAAAACCGGAAATGACAGATCACTCTAGACGCTAGTAAACACAGAGCACGCTGTCGTCCGTCATGGTTTTCATCAGAGAGTGTTGATAGTAGTCGAGAAGGATCGTTGTTGTCATTACTTTACTGAACGGAAAATACGATGGCTAATAATAACAAGATATCTGGGCGTTGTTTTACCATCGTCACTTCCGGTTCCGTGCACTCACTGATTCGCTATGTCAAGCGAGCACTCCACAATCAGATTGGTCTTTGAGGCTGACGGCACTGGCCGATTCTACATGTCGAATGCGGCCAAAAATGAAGGCCGACGCCGACGCCGACTGGACGACGGCACGGGACACACCAACCGACTCGCGACCTCGCCTGACTGTCCGACGATGTCCGACGGCCGTTAATCGGGTTGGTGTGCGGAGGCCTTAAGCTGACATTGCACCCTGACTCACCAGTCTGACCTGTAGCTGCTGCCGCAGTATCTGGCCCTGTGGCATGCTAGGCTGGGGTTTATAACCCATTTGGTATTGCTTGTCCAGTCCCATTATGCCAGGCATGCTCCCCTGCATGCCGGGCATCATGCCTGGGTAGCTGGGTCGGGTGGGCATCATCTTGTTTAT